ACACACGTGTGTTCCACCTTTCGCACATGAGACCGCATCTCCCGTCCTGTCCCGGAGGGTCTCAGTCCGTCCCTCAGTGTTCCCCTGTCACACTGTCATGCCCACCTATGGCCGGCTTCTGACCTTCGTCACTGTCACCAGGCTTTTCAGGAGCTAAGCCCCAGCGGAGCTGCCCTGCTTAAGCGGGCCTTCACCGTGATGCCCCCCTGAGGATTCCCCCCAAACCGACTGACGAGTGCTAGGAAGAAAAAAAAAACTATGCTTCCACGTTTTCAATAAAATAGTCCCAGTAAGGCCCACAGACTATCGTACAAGTTGCTACCAAAGCAGTGACTGATTATTAAAACTTATTTGAAAAGTAATCTGTGGCCAAATATGAGTCGACAAGGCAAAGTTGATTCAGGAAGTCTGTTCGTAAGCTGTGAATTGCTGCTATTGAGAGGCTGTCCCAATTCGTCCCTGAAGACGGGACACGACACCTCTTGTTTCCGTCTGTCAAGTCGGTCGACAATCCACTCGCCGTAACCACTGGGTTGGGGCAGCGTCAGAGTGGTCACTGATGGCCACTCCCACCCACTCTGTAACTTACTTACTTAAGTTAGTTTTCTAGCATCTATGGCTACACATCACTATCTTTGATGCCACAGAGGCATTTACTAAGTGACAGTTGGATCCGTATCTGCTGGTGACATTTTGGTTATAAATGGCACCTGCCATGAAGAGATGTCTGCCAGTGTCATGCGGCTCATGTATGCATAATGTTATGCCAGTAGAGTTGAAGAGCTGTGACATACTGTGACCATATGTGATCATACACATTCAGATATGTTGCTGCAATTATTAGGGGTTTCATTCCATTCTTCCATGTTATTATAGTATCCTTTTTGTTGTTTTTTAATCCTTTATCCTCCTAATTATGGTACAATTTAACAATACAAAAAACAAATTATTACCATGGAAGCTGATATACATAATTAGTCATCTCTTTACTTCTTTTACAAATCTGTTTTTTTTGTTTCCTTCCCATTTCATTCCATATGAGGATTGTTTGACGGTATAATTTATCTATGACCATTTTATTTTAAAATGCAACAATTATTCTGATGCTGTAAGCATCATCTTCAGAACAAAATTGGAAGAAGTTGTGCACGTCCGGGCTGGAAGCCGAGTCGAAGCCACCCTTCAGTTAATCACTGTGACGTGTGTCAAATTGATGCTCTGTTTAACCACTCTATTAATTGTGTGTGTGTGTGTGCTTCCTTCCCCGTAACAGCTGGCTAATTACGGGTGTACAGTATTTGTATTGGTGTGTGTTGTGTGTGTGTGTCTCTCTGCTCATCTGTTGAACTGTGTGTCGTGCGTGCATTGTGCTCCCGGCAGTGTCAGGTAGTCCCGGGTACTGTGGTCATGGCACGCTGTGCGTCAGTGATCAGACTGATCAAAGTCAACAGGAGAGGAACAGGCGGAGCTGCCCGCAGCCTTCAGCCGGCCCGTCTCTGATGGCTCTGGACAGGACTCACAGATCCACTCTGCTCGCGAAAAAAAAGACATTCATCTTCTTTTTTTTGTCATATTATACATAATAAAATCTGCACAGCCCTTGCTAAGGACAAAGTGCTCTTTTTTTCCCCCTCCATCTCTTGGCCTACACATTTAGAACGGCCCCTTTAATAATTTATCCGTTCTTCTTCCAGGAAGCAACGCTATCTGGCCACAGGCGGGATCGATGGAGATCAAAAGACAGCTTTTGGTCCTAAATGCAATCCTTCCCTGAAGAGGCACCAGCGAGGCTATTTTGGAGCCAGGCCCTATGGCTGGCTGGCTAGTCTGTTTTAAAGGTTAACAAAGAGGGTCGGGGTCACACATTATTCCCCCCTTAAAACCAGCAGCGGTCGCACGTACGGCGCACCGCCATGGGAACGTTTGCTTGGCATTATATGATTCATTCATTGTGTTCGAAGAACTCCCTCACTCAGTCCCCCGCTGATGAGTATAGCGAGTGAAAATCGTACCACCAAAGTTCATTTGAGTTTTGTATGTTGTAAGGTTCTGTACGCCAAAAGAGTTTCAACTGTTTTCAACGAATTTTGAGGTATATAATAGTTTCTATGCAACATGTAAGGAGCTGTTGCTGTGTGTGTGTGTGTGTGTGTGTGTGTGTGTGTGTGTGTCATGGCACAGCGGAGACACCTGTTCCAGTCTGTAATTCGGCAGTGATGGGGACGGCGCAGGGCTTTGACACGCTCCGTCGACATGACAGCTCTGACAGCATTGGATGTTAATCTCTTCTAACTGCTCCAAGCCTAATTAAATCTTCTAGGGCAGCACACACAAATACACACGCGTGTTCTAAATTGATCCTGGTTGTGCACAAGTTTTAACGATCTGGAGAATTGGGCCCGCAGCAGTTTGTTTGATTCTAAATCAATGACGTTCTCTGTGTGTGTTTGTGAGCGTACGAGTGCGCAGAACAGCAATATAATTGCTCTCTTTTAGTTAGTTCATAGACGAAAATGGCTTCCTTGCTTTCACGCGTCTATCAGCTCACACGGCTCATGACTATATTTGTTTATCCCGCTAAAAAGGAAGGACCTCAATCATTCTCCAGAAAGCTCACCTCACCCCCGACACTGTGGTAGCTTTTTAGTATACATTGATTCTGGTTTTGATCTTGACTCGATAAAAAAAAAGTGAATCAAAATCAAAGAGGCAAAGAATTCTCATACATGAGTTTTTTTGCTGATTTTAAAGCATTTGAGAAACCAAATCCACAAACATTTATCTATGTGCTCGCATTTGTGATAAGCTGTGGTCTTAGCAGACGGAATCGCAAGGACAATTTCATGCAAACACGAATACAAAAATTGCCCTCGGTCCTCTTGATACTGAGTAAACGCCTTACTCCAACTCTGCACTTGGAATCGTTGTGTTTGTTTGGAGTGGAGAGGAAAAAATGTCCTGTGTGTGAGGTGCTTAAAAACAGACAAAACAGAAGTTACAACAATCAACAATTCCAACCGTCTGTCTGTAGAAAGCTGACGAGAAGCTCCTGCAGGAAACCCTGAATGAGGCTTTTAGTATTCTATGAGCAGGTATTACGCTACAGAATCACAGTAAAGTCTTGTATCCTTTAAAGAGGTAGAAAACACCTCCCCGGCTGGTCTGTTCTTGTCAAAGTCAAACCCCGGTTGTTTTCCTGCTTTGCTTTCAAGCGCCTCAAAGTTCCTCTTGTCTTGCAGGTTGAAGACAAGACTCTGTGATCTGATGTTTTAGTCGCCGCCTGAACCAAGATCTCCTTCTTTAATCTGTTTAGCTTCAGTGAAATCAGAGACTTCTACACGCCGTGTGCCTCCTTCCTACCAGCCCACCTGTCTGTGTCCTCCACATCTGTCCACTGAGCCAGTAGAGTTGATTCTCTTTACCTCTCAGTAACTTTCTCCCTGCCACCCCTGTTGAGCACGGTCGTGTTATCCTGTGTCTCTTTGTGTCAGTCACTGCTCTGTGTTATTACAAGCTGCAGCGCCTTCTTTTCTCTGCTTTGCGCTCTCCCACCCCCGTGCCGCGGATCGCTTCGCCTGCGACTCAGCCTCCCTCTCTGTGTCTGCGTCTCCCGTCCGGCCTCGGCCGCCCCCACCTGAGTTAAAAAGGCCGGACAAATAGATTACAAACGGTGGGAAGAGTAGAGCTAAGGAGGAAGACAATCTGAATTTGCTGTGGGTAAAGAACGAGGAAGGAGGCTGTGCAGTCAAAGAAAGGCAGTGGAGTCAGAATAAGGCTTTTTATTTGCCTGAGGGGGGAAAAGGCTGGAAAGTAGCTCCTCGCAACAGATGTGCAGGGCAGTAAAGTGTAATTGAAATGCCAGCAGCAATGGTCTTATCTCCCTGCTACAGGAGCCTGCTGCCAGTCTCAACATCAGTTAGATGTCATTTTACCTAAGTCGGAATCAGCTTGCCACAAGCCGCAATCCCCCACTCCTCTGATGCCGGGCAGGAGAGAGAGAGGGAGAGAAACGGGTGAGGGGGGTGGCGGGGAGAAAGGGGAGGGCGGGGGAGTCTGTAATAGGATTTCAGTAGCACCCAGTTAACTTCCACCACCTGGCTTAAGTTGGTAATTAGATATGCCCCATCAATAGGATTCATTTACTTCACCGCAGTATTACCGCTGCCATTTATTTGACTTTTTAAAAAGAGTATTTATTCATTTCTCCCTGCACATTTTGCCGCTCCTCCTGATCCTTATCATGCGTGCTGGAGGGAGGCGGGGGGGGAAGAAGGGAGGAGCTGTTCCACAATATTTCAGCTCAGAAAGAAGGTCTTCGGTCCGGAGGAGGTGGAGAGCCAGACGCCGTGGCTGTCCTCCGAGCTCCAGGCGGAGCTTAATGTTCCGGGCCAGGCAGCATCCCCCCCGGGGGAGAACCGTAATGTCCTCCCAGATTAGAGGCCGGCGCTCCTCGGAGGGGCTGCCTTTTATCGGGAACTTTGTTACTGCGACATGGGATCATCTGCGGGACATTAAAGCTGCCCTATCTCCTCACTGTAATGTTAATGTGTGGTGATGCGGTGTGTTGTAGTGGAAGGGTTTTAATCTCCCCTGAGCTGCTTCTGCTGCTTGTTGCTTTATATTAAACAGCCACTCTGATTTAGCAAATGTAATATAATTACATTTTGTTCATGAATTTTACAAGGTACATTTTGGGGTGAAAATGCAGTTAAATGAGAAGGAGTATTTGGGCAATATTTCACAATAAAAATAAATCTTGACATTATCTGAGAAAACTAATCTTTGAGCTATTTTTCACTTTCACTGTGATGTGTGTAACAATAAGTCTGTAATGCTCAAGATCTGTATTTCATATAGTATATAAGATATTTAACATGCATTGTTTGAAAACCAGCCCCTTGTTTAGGATTGTGACTTAAATTAAGTTTTATCAAATGCTAAATTGAGACTTATTCATTTGTGACTTTAACGAGGCTTCAATGTTCTTCACTGTCTTTCAGAGAGTCATTTTCAATGTGGTCAACTTCTCCAAGACCAAGAGCCTGTACAGAGATGGCATGTCTCCTGTGGTCAAGTCTACCAGCAGGCCCAAATGGTGAGTGTGCAGCATGAGCATCAATTCTACCAGCATCATTTGGAAGAGGATGCTCTGCGCTTCACTGTCATTTCATCTGAAACCAAGAATATACGCACCTCTGTACGCAACTTTGAAAAACTTTTCTTCTTTGCCCAATAGTACACACTCCCCCCCCTCCCCTCACAGACACACAAACACACACCAGAGACTGATACTTTAGATTTCCAGAGTTGATGCGTCTGGGCACATTAGCATGTGATCCATTGGTTGCCAGTAGGACGGCTGTCTGATGTAATAACGCCTGACGGATGGATGCAGAGATGTGCGAGTGTGTGTGTGTGTGTGTGTGAGTGAATGCTTAGGTGTGGCAGGAGGGAGCGGCGCTGGTGCAGTGGGGGCCGGACTGCCAAGCAGGCTGGTGAATGCAGGGGGAGGGTGTAGGGGGGAGAACAGGATGGCGTGATGAAGTGCTGCCGTCCAACAGGAGCCCTGACATCTGTCACCAGCTGATGGAGGGCATCCGCGGGAAAAAGCCTGGCATCTGCCACCGCCGAGCCGCCTGCGTCTGCTAGCCTATAGCGCCCGCGCCGACCGTACCGTAGCGCGCCGGTCACAGGCTAATGGGGAGAGACAATGGGCACGACACCGTGGACAGGAAAGATGAACTGCTGTCGACGATACGGCACAGCGCAACACGATGCGGCTCGGCCGGCTCGCTCTCTTTGTTCTTACTGGTTGCAACTTTGCACTTAGTGCACTGCTTTATGTGTCTCTGTTCTTTCTTTCTTTTTAAGTGGCAGCCACAGCTATCGTTCCATCCCGAAAACTGTATCTTTATTACAGTGAAGCTTTGAAATTGGTGTTATTCCTCTTGTGAGTGTAGTTACTCCGTCAGTTGCTGTGTAGACGCTTTAAAGCAAAGTTCCCGTTTCTACACCTGCGATAACAGTTGAATGCACTGGTAATGGGACAGGCATTTTGTGCCATGTAATTATCGTCCCACTTTCTGAATGCCTGATGAGTTAATCTGAGCAGTAGCCTTGTTGGGTCATTCAGGTCTCAGAGCTTTCTTTAACACGCTAATCATGCAACCCTGGCCATGTTTATGTTGCAATAAGCTCTCATAAATAGATATTTAAGTGACAGACACGGCAGGAGGTACCGTTGCAGAGGCCTGACTCCAATTACATCCCCGGGCTAATACAGTTTTAACCGCTCCTCTCAGCACTGTGGCATCCAAAAGGCCTCATGTGTCATGCACTTATAGAACCATTTTCAACTGTCTGGGGCTTCCAAGACTGCAGCTGACATTGTTTGTGTCGCCACAAAGTGGTCAAGATGCTTTTAACACAGCCTCCTCCATTTGACTTTCCACGAGCACAACAAAGCACCGACAGCTCCTAAAGTAGCAATCTTCTTTTTGACAGTTACAGATATGGAATAAATAAAAAGGCAGAGCCTGGATTGCCTCGCCTGTCTGATCCAAACTCACACAGGACAGGGAAAAGAGAGAAAGAGAGGGAGAGAGAGAGAGAGAGAGAGAGAGAGTTTGGAGAAAGAAAAAAGAGATTACTGTGACAGGTAGACAGGGGGAGAGAACGAGAGCGAGAGGTACCAGGGAAAGATTTCTCCCCCACAAGCCAGCAGTCCACGTCTGCATTTATCAAAATCATCGGCCCAGGAGTTGAAGCCTTTATCTCCCCGTGCAGGTGCCTTGTGTCCTGGGGCCTCAGCATCGCTCGGTGCTGGAGGCTGCAGAGCTCGGCTGGCCTCGTCTCGCCTGCGAGAGAGACAACTGGCAGATTACAGTCCTGCAGGACGTTCACTGCTACAGGTGGACGGATCTGTCCTCTATCCCTTCTTCCGTCCCCCCTTTTCCATTCAACCTTCCCTCCTTGGGTCCGGATTTAATGTAGCGCGTTGAACGACGAAGTGACGAATGATGGTGTAAAAAGGAGTGGGGGTTTTATTACGTGAACAGGATGCCCTTTGCACTACTTCGTAAACTACCAGCGAAATGAATACTACCATTTGTCATTAAAGGAAAGCAAATTAATTATATACCAGTTTCTCGACTTAAAAACGATCAGCTGCTGAATAAAAACAAACCACCTTCATCTTGCAAACATTAGCTGCAAGATCCATTACTCACCCTAAACACAGACGATAGTACATCTTTGAAATCAAATTGGCGCCTGTGAATTTTAATTGACTTTAAGATCAAAGTGAGAAAAAAAATCCAAGACGTTTTTTTTTAAGAGACTAAACCATATTTTCTTGAATGAGTGGAAGACAACAGCCCCCTTGGGGACACTAGGTGCCAACCTCCCCGTGGAACCGCTAGTTGAGAGACTGCTAGAGCAAAGAATTGCCCGGTATACTTATTTCCCGAGATAGCCAATTAGAAAGTCAGAGAGCGTGGTGTAATGCAGCTGTTGGAGGCCGGGATGCTGGGGGTGGAAGTGGGCAGGACGGCTGCATGAGACTGACCGCGTCTACCGCCAGATGCTCGGCACAGAGTCCCGTCTGGAGCGGAGTAGGACGAGGCACTTTAATTTAAATTTAAAGTTATATCCATCACAGCTTCACACAGTCCAAAGTGACTTTGTCCCACCAAAGCACAATTGCTCTTTTTGCTTTATAAAAATGCTGAGATTATTCTATCAAGGTTTTGCTCAATAGATTTGTTACGGTTTTATTCTGATTCCATATAACAAAACAGCCATAATTCAATTATTGACTCTACAGCGACGTCGTCATTGACATTTTTGCCTCATGTATGCGTCACTCAAGACAGAAGAGAATGAAAAAAACGCTATTGAAATTGGGTGCCGACATTATTGTCCCTTCGAACCCACATCTTTACATCATTTCTAGCTTATTAGATCTGTGATGTGTAATATACCGAAATGGTTCTGATCAGTCGTGTCTCTTTTAATTAACTTTCCACTTCTTCGTGAGTCCGTAGGTGCGCGGATAAAAATAGCTGCACCTCTAGCTGAGCTAACAGATGAACAGTGGGGAGTTGGAGGAAATGGGTTTGCCAAACATTGCTGCTAAAGTTAGGAAACCAGCCAACCTTGATCAAGGGTAAATGTCTTTCCTCTTCTTTTACAGAAGGTTACAAAAAAACACAGGAGTGCCTCTCAAGCAGTCGTGCTCAGCTCCAAGTCAATCAGTCTGTTAGTCGGGGCAATTTTGGTTTTCTACCCAAATCCTTCCTGTAAGCATGCGGGGCGACACCGTAGTGAAATTCTATTTGGAGATGTCTGCATCTCCGTCGTGGTGCGTGTTAGCCGTAATTGTTCTGTCAATCAGCACAGCTTCGGCCTGCCTGCGTCCCCTTGCCACTTGTTAAGCCCTGTCAGAGGGCGAGGGGTGAGGAGGGGTGTGGCAGGGTGAGTTAAAGAGGGAGGACACCTCCGCTGCCCTGTGTGTCTGTCGTCGCACAGCTTTCTTTTGTCCTTATGGTGTTTTTTTTCCTCCTTAAAACTCACTTCTTCTCCAATTTCGGCCTCCTGCAATTTCTCTGCTTTGTTTTGGTTCTTCGGCACTAAATCGGACCTTGTTATCCTGGAATTGAGTTCTTTGTGTCAGTGTTCTCCCACAGTGCTTGGATCTTCCATGTTATCAGATCTTCAGCTCCACTTAAAGGTGTTTTATGAACTTAAATCACAGACAAACACACACACATCACAAAATGTCGGGCCCCCATTTCTCTGAACAAACCGTACCGCACTTTTACATAATATATGAATTCCAATGAACTGTGATCATTTAAACACAAATCCATCAAAGGTGACGGGAAGGAAATCGAACCGGTGGTGCTGCACAGGAGATGCTGGAGACCCACCGGGTCCACACACACACACACACGCAGCGCTGCTGGTCCTGCAGTCTGAATGAAAGTGCACACGCTGCCTCATACAGAATCCTCTCATCCGGCGCACCCCCCATCCTCTGCGGCCCGAGACAGTCCCTCTCTCGGGGACAAAGTGTCAGGCAGCAAATTGAAGGTTGTGTGAGAGCTCCAGCGGACCCCCTCCTGACTCCTCCCTCCGTTCGGGGTGTCTGCACCGCCCCCCCTCGCCCCTCCCCTCCCGCAGCTGAGCCACTCGCCCAATTAACCGCGTGGTGCGCCTTTTAATAATAGACCTTTTAATTGTAGACAAATGAAGAGTGATGTAAAATAGCAAATAGCTTGTGCTAATTAATAGGGGAATTGAACGCTTGTTAATTAAGGGCAAACAGGACAAGGACCGGCTCGAGTAATTTCAGCAATAAAACCGAGACTAACGATTCATTTCCAAAAACGGACTCGCTTCATAAAAACATGGAGCGAACCCCCCAGTTTGCTGTTTGAGAACCCCCCCCCCCCATCCCGGCTTGCACTACGACCACCGTCTTCCCTGCACTGGATCCCCGTGGGAATATCCTGGATTCCAACACAGGAATCCTCACAGATATTACGCATGAAAACAAAACCCAACTATAGAGTGTCTTAAAAATGTTCAGCAATTTTGTCTCTGTGGTACGACAAGACTTCTAGGTATTAACACGATGCACGCAAATAAATCCATTCCCCATGTTGCAGTTGATTTATATTGCAACCAATTCAGGAAGCTGTTTAGCTGTAGCGCGCCTTCACCTGTTCCCTCATCGCTCATCTCCCTGCGGTCGTGCTTGTAAGACTCCAGGCTAAAGGGAAAAGAAATGGATTGTCAGCCGTGGCTTCACACATTCACCGGCTCCCTCGAGAGACCGCGGGAGCTTTACTCTCTTTTTTTTTTATTTTTTTTTTTACGTCCATGTCTCTCAATCTCACAGCTTTACTGCAATGTTTCACTGGAACATCATTTTCATTACACCTTTACTGCGCCCGCGGCGTGTGTTTTAATTTAAAACAGAGAGCGAGTTTTCGTGCTGCTTCTTCACTCTCGACCCGGTTTTGAAGTGGGAACCCGTAGCAATCATTCGACAGACAGAGAGGCTATGGCTTTCATATAAGATTCTTAGAT